TAATGGCCATAAAATTCATAATTTTTAATTTTTTGACTGGCCACTTTCAGAGAGTGTGAAAAATGTCCTAAACTTAAAAAAAAAACTACTTGCCAAAACTTAGATATAAAAAAAATGTCATTCCATTATTCACTTTATTTTCTTCCTTCATGCGTAGAATTACCCACATATAAACGTATAAAATACTATATATTCTCTCGACGTAAAATGTTTTCAATTCAATGCACAAAAATGATCAATTTTTGTATAACCTTATTCATGCATGCGATTCTTAAATGTACATATGTCTAATCTACCTAATGATTATTTGAATAATGAGTGAATTGTGTTATCGCAAAAGTATATTCATTATTATCACATTTAATTATCATCCGGTCTTTAATCAACGGATAGAATAGAAAACAAGAATGAAATGGAACCGCTAGTTCATAATGATGATTATTTTACACATTAAATTGGTGCCACCGGCTGAAACACGGTCTAATTGCAATTAGAAATGCTCGCGACGTAATGCAATTAGAAAGAAATTAATTAATGGACTGTGGCTACCTTGATTCAATTGGCTCAATTAAATTTAGGAGAGAAACATCAATGGACAGTAATGTAAAAATTATAAGTCGTCCAAATTTGGGCGGATGGTACCGTTACAGGCGGGGATGCCACATTCTAACTACGATTCCGACCAATGTGGTGGTTTTTGATTAAATGAATTCAGTGGCGGCATGATGGCCTAATGAGAGCAACTGAGCAATAATTATTGCACCTTCTCAAATTTGTTAACAAAGCAAATTAAGCGCCGCTTTTGTGTGAAAGTTAAAAATGAACTTAAGTATTATTACGTTTTCGTGGTTTGACAGCCACCCCGTTGTACAAAGCGCACTGCCGGGTGACGCAGAACTAAACGAGCAAAGACATATTATTGATCCTTTTAGCCTATACTATCACATTGCAGGTGGGGAAAGCCGTGTTTCGGGTGTCTTCAATACGACATAATACGTAACAACTGAGCAAGTGTCTGATTTTGCTCGCGATCTGCAGCAACATTGTTGGTTCAGGCAATATGGACGGGAGAGTGGAAAAAAATATTCGGATTAAATTTTTTTATTCGGTTTTGTTCGGTCAATATAGGTTGCCAGTCTGTAATTCGGTCGGGTATTGTTTAAATCACAATTGTTTAAACAAATGCTAAAAGACCACTTTTTTGACATGAACATTTTTTTTATATTCTTTGGTTAAAAAAGGTCTACATGTTTTTTGTAAAGTTAATATTTTCCGAGTTGTGAATTTTTATAAATCTGAATATACATGAAAATCGCTATGCTACAAAAAGTAATTAAAAAAAACCTTTTTGAGAAGCTAATATTTTATATATGTGTATTTGATAAACTATATTTAATAAATTGCCCTAAAGAAACTTCTTTTAATTTAATACAGTTTATTAAATATACATAAAATTTTAGCTTCTAAAAAATCATATTTTTTAATAA